AAAGTCACAAGGATGTTTAGTTTTTCTTAAAAAGTTACCATGAAAGAAGAGGAATCAGAAGACACGATACCTTTGACCTTTTACAAATGTGTTTATGTATGAACTTTCTCAAAGGACACAATAAACCATAGGACAAATATTTAATAAAAGAATCACCCAGAATGTGTAGAACTCGCTGAACAGGAGGACTCATTAATCTGCATCAGATTCCATAGGGTTTTGTGACGATTCTTTTAAAATGTGGCCATGTTCTTTAAGAGCACAGTTGATGCAGTGGCTTCCAGGAATCGGTGGGTAATGTCGTTTCAGGATGTCTAGCAGTAGCAGCTCTGCCTTTCACTCAGGTCGTGTGCAGACTTCGTGCAGTCAGGTAATTTGTTGCAACTAAACAAAGTTGTCCAGTTTGGTTTTGTTTGCTTCTTAATACAAAGTGTGTGAATGTGTGCAGGAGACAAGAAGAAAACCCCACTCTGTCTCAGCAAAAGTGTAGGTGTGATCATTGCTGCAGGGCAGTTTTAGAGTGGGTAGGAAAGCTGGTTTTTGGAAACCCGCAAAAAGAGCTTAATTCTTTCCTCTAACCTTTCCTATTATGGCAGTATTCCTAAGCAAAAGTTTTTTCCCTGAAAGTAATGCTGCCTTCAGGTGAAAAAAATTGTATGAGTTACTGGCCAGAGCAAAGAATTGAAGAATATGGTGAAGAAAAAGGGTAGAATGTGCTCAGTGGATGGGACGAGGAAGAGTCATCACTGAAATGTCAGAGACAGAGAAGAATAAACTTCAGTGGTTCATTTAGTTCAGCTCCTAGCTTGTGCAGGTTTTGCCTTGCAGTTAATGCTACTGTATTTCATCCAGAAAAATAGAGAACAGATTCATGGAAAGAGAGTGGATTGCAAGTCAGGAATGCAAGTTTTCATTTGGGGTGTCAGAGATTCACTTCTGACTTTGGAGCACGTCTCATCTGTCTCACTTTCCTATCTGTAAAATAAGGATAATAGTGCTTTTCTACTTCCTAGTGATCTTTAAAGGAAAGATATTTTGATGTACACGAGGTCCTTATATTAGATAGTACTGGATATTATGAAAGAGCCTAAAAAGACAGTCAAGTTTTAAAAGCTTTTAGGCGAAGGAGTTTTTTATACAATGTCAAGAGATATTTTTGACATGCTCTTTTATTCTCTGACTTGCTCTGATTCTGTGTTTGACTACAAGCAGAGGCTGGGCGATCCCTGAAACTGAGTGGCAATGGGGAAGATTGCAAAGAGGGTCAGCAAGAATCTCTGAATTCAAAATAACTGCAGGATAATTCAGATCAACGCCATGAAGCCCGAAAAGGAAATTTTAAGGCTTTGTGGAAATTAAGCAATTTTTACAAAGGATGTTGCACTGAAGAGGAATGAGATGGAGGCTTGGGGGGATGGGAAAAGGTTTATATTCTGTTGGGCTCTGAAGGCAGTTTCCTTGCATCCTTCTTGCAGCTCAGTCCTTGCTCAGTACCCTCTGTGGTTAGATTATTCCTTGCAGATAGCAATCAACTGGAAGGAAGTGTGTGTCTAATTTGCATGAGATTATTTAAAACAAAAAAAAAGGTCTGCATTAGTCAGGGTGATGGTAAACAACGCAAAGAGATGCCTTTTATAATATAGCCGTGGCTCAGCTTTCAAAGCCAAATATAATTCACTTACAATTGGCAGTTTCCTTTATTGTTCCTTTTAACCTTTTGCATTCCGCATGGTCTTGATCTTGCTGAAACTCTGGAAGAACTAAAATGTTTGTTTTCCAAAGTGATGAAGGCAGTAGAGTTAGAGCAAATCTTTTGTTAAGTTGTGATGTGATTTTCTTGACTTAACCATCGCAAAAATCCTTTTATTAGCCAAGCTCTAGTTTTTGTGGCATTGCTTTTGCACCCAAGAGAAGTACTATTGTTTTTTGGTTATCAGTCTCCTACTAGATTAGGACAATGACTGGACCAGAGATTTTTTTTTTAGTACTGCATTGATAGAAGTTCTGTGATAAAATAAATCAAGGCAAGATATCAGACCAGAAGACGCTGTCTGATCTGGTGTAGAAATGCCCATTTTTCTATGCAATTGATGTATCTTTGAGGTTGGTTATTTTGGGGTATGGAAATACTGCATGCATACGTGAGTGTGGGTGGTGAATATGAAAAAAAATCAATCCAAAGTGAAGTTTGATGAGTTAGTTATAAATGCCCGAGAACATTCTTAGAATATCCTATACATTTTTGTTAGCATGTGTGAGAAATGACAACCATGAAGACAGGTATACTTCTGAAACCAGAGGTGGCTAGTTGCAATGCAGACTTGATCCCTGTGCATGCTTAAGGAATCAGCTCCAGGAAATGCTCCCTTGCTACTCGGAGACCAAAATGAACAGATCCATTAAATGTCTCTCTCTAATTAATAAAAAGGAGATGATCCAGGGTGATGCTTCTCCCAGTTTTCTCCTATGGTTATTGACAAGGGAGGTGGTTGTGGTGTTTGTATGAAGCCGCTAGGACAAGAGCAAGACCACGTCACAAGGCAGCAGAATAGTGCAGGGAGGTAATGACCTCCTAATTTGCACTAGGTTGTGCAGGATTCAAACCAGCAGCTCAAATATGAAAGGATTCCATCATAATAGAATTCACACCAGTGTTCTCTTGACAGTACAGAAAGATTTTAGTGGAAGTGGTATGCTTGAGTGTCAATAGTGGGCATGTCCAGAATAATCCTAAAAGTGCACTTTATCTGCAAAAGATGATTTTTTTTTCTCAAGTGGGATAAGAATTGAAAGAGCAATGTGGTTGGGAAAATATGCCTGTTGTTTCCTGCTTTTTTGTGGAATGAAGATCTAAAGGGGAACGCATAGTCCTAACTCCATACGTTCCTAAGTGTTAAACGTTATCAGATTTGCTATCTTTGCATGGAAATAGAACAAAACTCCCTGGTTCAGTGGGAGCTACATGTGCAGCCAAGCCGCTAATATTGTGTTACTAGTCTAGCTTCATCTTTATGAAATTCCTCAGTTGCTAGTGATCTCCAGTGGTGGCATCTGTTTATGCTTTCTCCTATATTGTATAATTAGGAGCTGGTTAAAACAGTTTCTTTCTTACTAAGACTTCACTTTTTCACATGGATTAGTCCCCATAAATATTGCTTTTGCCACTTTAAAACCAGAGTCTCACATGCCTTTTATTACTCTCACTAGAAGTCTTGTTCCATACTGTTATGTCTGGTTTTGGTTCGTTACTGCTTGAGGCATGCATCAAATACAAGAAAAGAGGTGATTTTGCCAGATGCAGGACTGGAGATCAGGAACTTCAGTTTTCTAATACTCTTTCTGACACTGCCAATATTCAATGACTTTGAGGGAAATCACCTACTTGTGTGTGTATTAGCGGCAGCACCGTGCAGGGTACAGAATCAGCTTGCAGAACTCACAGGGCTGGGGAAAAGAGCTGCTGGCAGTCACGAAGCCTTCTGGAAATCGGAGGCTGTGCACGCTACATGAGAATCAATTTCTGGCAATAATATTTGTTCTACACATAATTCAAACCCCAGTACGCAGCAAAGTTTAAAGTCTTGGGTAAATTTCTCAAAGCTTAGGTAATATGTCCAAAACCTGGCCATTTTCCATATTGTATCTCCTTATGACGTTAAGGAGCTAAGTGCAGTCAAGGTTGAAGTTCAAAAATTCAATCTATGAGCAATACCGAGAATAAACATGTAGCAGGACCTCATTAACTTCAGATGGAAGGGATGGAGAGAAAATATTCCATCTTCTCCCACTCCTGTCATATCCCTACCATTTTCTGTTCTGTGCTCAGTCCTTTTGACAGGTGTGTAAGAGTCAAATGGTCTCTTCCAAATCTCTTCCCTTAAACTATATCCCTACTGCCAACATCTCTGAATGTATAACATGCTGTATGTGTATTAGAAGGTCCTCAGTCTCTTTGGATGTCAGTCGTAGCTGGGTCGATGGCTTTCTCTCTGCTTCTGTGCAGGAAAACCTCATACAAATAATATACAGCCATCCAGGCCTCACATCGTGGTTGCCATCTGAATACAGAACTTTTGTCTAGAAGATGTTTTTCTTTTGTTGGAAAAAAAAAATGCAGCCGTGTTTCCTTCTTCCCAGATGCTGGTCATCATGAATCCTTTAGCTGCTTTTCTTTTCCCTCTTTTTTGGCCAAATGCCTTCCATATGTTGGAGGCAATTACAGATGGTCACCCTGGCATTTCCCAGTGGCAGGAGTGACTGCTGCAACATGTACCATGTGTGCAGTGTGAGTACAGCTCTGTGTGAAATAAAGAGCAGGCTGGCCTAGGGCAATCTAATCAGGCAGCAATAGGCTGGGACAATGCTAAGCTGAAAGTTTGGGCTTGGCCTTGTTTTGATCTGTTTTGTTATGGTTTTATTTCCTCCTTACATTCTGTGTCCCATTCATACTAATCACACTCCATCCTGATTTTTCTTTTTATTTCTGCATTTGTCATAAAATAAAGCAAATTATTCCCGTCTTCGGAAACGATCTAGACTAATTAGTCGTCTAACCCAATAATTAGTTTTTTGTTTCCCTGTCTGTTTTCATGCATTATTGTTAGTTTTTTCCCTTCTTTTTTTTTTTTTACACCATTACAGATTAAAATGAGCCACATTTGCAGTTGATGGTATCTTTTTTTTCGGGGGAAGGATGGAGAATTGCAATAGAAAGCTACTTCAAAAGCAGCAATAAACTCAAGGATAAATTAAGGAAATTGAATGAGCCACATTTGGAAGCAGCGTTGAGGCTAATATTCTGTCGCTTAAGGTTAAATTGCAACAGAGAAAGAGAGAAGGAAATATTCCAGTGAATCCAAAATTGGGGAAGCAGCGCTGCTCAAGTCGGTGCCAAAATTCTTTTGATGCTTGAAAGGATTCTGCCTGGCTTGAGAATTAAATTATGCGTGCATCAAGTGGGTGAAGGTGCTAAACTGATCTCATTTCCTCTGCTCCCCCAGGCCTGACAGATGAAGAGATTGACCTGGCGTTCCAGCAGTCGGGCACCAGCGCGGATGAACCGCCGTCCGCAGCTCCTTCCAGCCAGCTGGTGCCCAGTCAGTCCGCTCCCCCCGTGTTGTACAGTAAGTAACCTCCTGAAAACACCTACTCCGTTTGCCTTCTGCAGTGGTTTTTACTAGCCTGTACCTTGCTTAAAATGTTTCCAACACCGGATTTCTCTACCAGATCCTAGAAGTGTCCTGTAAGTGTGTTGCGAAAGTGCAACTTCATTACTTGTTTGGTTGCTACCGCAGTGGAGCCTGTTCAAGCAGTTGTGCGGTGTCTTGGGGGTCATTATGAAATATTTACTCTATGTATTTATATTTCTATATAGTTCTTCTGTGTCTCAGTTAGAGGACTTACTAACTAATCAGGCAGCTGCTCAGTCAAGGCCTTCAACAGTCGCTTGGAAGAGGTTCATTTTCAGCATGGACAGCGAACTAGATTGTAAAGTCTTTAGGGCTTAGTCTGAGTTAATAGTGTTGATTATTTTTAAGAAAGCTTTCCCTTTTCAGTCTCACCTGATATGAGGGAAGACAGCAGAAATTCTGTGTGGTTCTGATTGTATGATTTTGTGTATAAAATTCACTCACAGAGAATTTTTAAAGTCCCAACATAATCTGTGCAGACTTAAAATTTACATATAGATTTGCATTTTAAAACAAACCTCGCAAAAAGTATCTAAGCTCCAAACAATAAAAACCAAAGTACACACCATTAAAAATCCATCAAAAGGAGCTGTTCATCTCACATGTGTGTCTGGCACACAGTGAAAAGCAGTTCATTTACCTGCCAAGTATTAAGAATAGGGCTTTGATACTGCTCCTAAATAGTTCTAGCTCAGATGTTGACTGGTATGACTTTCTACTCAGGTTTGTGTTTATTAGTTTATGGCATAATTTTGCTGTTGCTAGAGAGCTAGACTTGTTCTCTGATTTGGCATTGTTTGGAAGAAAAAAAAAATGTGGTGGACTGGGGCTCAGAATTCCAGTACCCTGGCTGCTGTATTGGGCATGATGATGAAATCGGGAACTGAATTCTGTGTTCTGCTCTAATATCTATAGGCCATAATTCAGAGAAAATACCAGAACCAAAATCTGTCTTCTTGCTGGTACCTGTTATGCAATGCACTGCTCATTCAGCTAAGAACCAAATATTAGAAGAGTTAATCTTCTCTTATTTTATAATGTTCTACTAATATAAATAAAGGAGGAAAGCAGAATACAATTTAAACTATAAAACACTGGAACCATGGTCAAACCTTGCAGCTTTTTCACAGTTTTTTATTTCCCTTTCAATATCTTACTTTTCCTCCATGCCCCAGCTCCTGATTTCTTATTACTAGATAAGAATTTGGACTATTCTTTAAAAAGCAAGCAAAATGTTTCTAGTCTTGACAGCTTTAAAGAAAAGTTTAAAAGTGTCGTTACTCAGAAATGCTCATAAACCACAGGTGAACAAAAAGACCACCAAAGCACCATTTACACAGGCTGTGCTGGTAGTGTAGGTATTACTTAACATCCCAAGGTTGTGTTGCAAATAATTCTTACATAGGTAAGTGCCATGCAGTCTTTTAGTGTGAAAAAGGAAGAAGCCTTCGGGATAGTATAATTCTTGTATGCTGGACTTCTCCTGGGTTTGTTTTTACAGAAACAATAGTAACTCTGGGCGAGAAGAGACAAGAATTAAATTTTTAAAGTTTCTATACACTATTTTCTAGCTCAATGCCATCTCTAGTGCTTCCTCTCTCTGCTCTGGAGGAGTAATTCCTTCCCTCCCATTTGTACTTTTGCCAAGAGGTGTCAAAACTGCTTTAAAAAAAAAGCTTAAAAAAAGCTTGAATTTGATTAATATAGAGAAACAAGACTTTGCCTGACTGATAATAAAACTGATAAATGACATTTGAATTACTTGTAGCGGTAATTTATTACATAAAATATCTTTTATTTGACATGCGATTAGTTGCTGGAAGCATCACTCAATCTGACTAGTTTAAACATGCTTTAAAATGAACCCCTGGTAAAAAAACAGGGCTGTCTGCTGTTGGCGTTATGAAATATACTAATCCAGCAGTGAGGACAAAAATCTGACTTTAAATATTTAAATGATTAATTGGGTTTATATATTTTTTTACCTTCCTAACCCTTATAATTACAAGCAAACTCAGGGGAGTTTCTGAGCTAGGCGTGCAAAGCCGCATGCTTATCATGCATGTATTGTCTGTGTCCTTCCCCATGGTATTTATGGTCTCCGTTCATGGGTTTTTCATGCAAATTTTACATGTACTTAAAAATCAGCTCCAGAGATTGCTCTGCCTGTCATTTGGAGTTTCTTCCCTCAACCTTGTGCTTTCATCAGGTGGGAGGCTGTAGAGACATCTTTGCCTGACAAGTAAAAATGGTAGCTAGAATCTGTACACCTTTTTTTTTTTTTTTGTCTTTTTGCCAACTCCTTTCTATGGATTCAATTTTTTAATCTTGGAAAAATCACCTTTTTCTACAATTTTAAGTGTGGATGTTAGTGAAGAGTGACTATATATGGATGCACAAGGCCTAATTAACTGATGTTAGGAAAGCCAATTCTGAAATAAATGGGGTTCTTAAAATAGTAAATGTTCATTCTGGAAATGCAGTTTACAGGTGCTGTTGTGAAAATTAGATATGATTATGGAAAACACTCATGAAGATGAAGAAGATGCCTGTTTCCCTTACATTTGCCTTTTGGTGGTCTGCTTTCTAGAATGGTTCATTACATCTGTAGCATGTAGTGTATCTCTTTCAGGAGGATTTCAGTACCTAAACTGTAAGAGTATCTGAGCAATTATTGCTTTTTTACTTTCTCCACATTTTCTTCTAGTTTTACAAGGAAGGAAATTGAAGCTATGCAAAGAAGTCAGTGCAAGCAGTTGAGTTTCAACTGGGAAACTTCTAACTGTCCCCATGTTCCTAATTTCCACTCCAGGTTAAAGTCTTGGAGAGGAAAACCAAAACTGAGTGGAGATTTTGGGCAGACTTGTGACATTCTTCATAACGTTGTAATGTTGATGTGGTCAATACAGGGCCTTCACTGTGTCCCTTATCACTTTTCTTCTCTACCTCCCTCCCCCTTTTTTTTGCCACTAGACAGAATTATTTCACACATCTCTGAAACGAGTAAAATGGCATTTCAGCTTCTTGTCTTTATAGACTCTCTGAACTTTAGGAAAGATCATTCTGGTCCCTTTTCATTAATAATGAAAACCAGGGGGCAATAAAATGTTCTTAGCTCAAGCATTACAGGGATGGAGGGAAAGATGAGTGAGGTGAAAGGGCAAAGCTGACAGGGTCCTACAGGTGTCTCTCGATTCTCCTCAGAGGTCACTGCAGTTGGGAGGGAGTTAGGGACAGCCAGTCAAGGACTGCCAACTTATGCATAAGGCACAGTTGGAACCACAGACCCTCTGGGATTAATTAACCCTTTATAACAGGCTGTTCATCCTGGGGTGAACTGCATGGTTGTAGAGGAATACTTTTAGCCTGAAGTTCGTGTCAGAGAACTGGAAACCCAGGAGTATTCAGAGTCAGATGTCAGAAATGACAAGGGGGGCCGAGTAGGAAGGGGATGAATGACTGGGGTTTGTAGCAAGATTAGCCAGAGATCATTTTAAATCCCAACATGTACACAGACAGTTACTGCAGCTTAGCCTGACGTGTGTTAACTCATTAAGTTACAAAGTTATGATAATTTGATCGTGTGCCTGAACTCCAAAACTGCACTTGCAGCAACCCAAGATACTGCTAGTGACAATATTCACCCACTCTGGAAGTTCAAAGTTGTTTTAATACATAAAATCTGTATGGCAGATGTTCTGAGGAACTAAGAAGTAGCAAGAAGCTATGGCTGTGTTTGAGGGTCAGTGCCTTTCCGTAGAGCCTGAGTGCTGGAATTAGGAAGACCTGTTGCAGTGCAACACTTGCAAGAGACCTCAGCACCCAGGAAGAATGGCGATGGATGAGCAAAGCAGAAAGGAGACAAGCTCCCAGCCATTCCAGCCAATTAACCCTCTCTCTGGAAGCCCAATTAGAAAGTTTGGAGAAAAGATTGGTTGTCCTAGACATTGTAGGTCACATGCAGATTTGGATCTGTCTACCCGGAGACTGCAACACCAGCCTCTGCCTCATCAGTGCTACCCACATCCTGCCACTGAACTTTAGGAAAGATCACTCTGCATCTTCTTTATTATTAATGAAAACCGGGGGCAGGACCAGATTCGTAGCAAGTGCGTTAAGGGAGCTGCGAGGGAGGTGAGCGGATAAAGCTCGTGGAAAACTACAGGTGTCTTCTGCTTGTGCTTGGAGGAGTGGAGCACGCTGTATCTTTGCTTTGCTCTGTTGAGTCTCCAAGCTTCTGTGCAGAATTGTGTGTTAAATGTGTCCAGCTTTTCTCTCCTCGTTTTCCTCTCTCTCTGTAGATATTTAATTGTCTTATTTTGTCTTTGTTGTTTGTGGTATGCTTTGGTTCCTGTTCTTAATTCAAGCATGAAAGACCCTGGATCCTTTCTTACTACAGCAGTCCATAGCTGCTGACACAGCATTCATAAACACATTTATTGCCCTGACAGATCTCTCCTTTCCTCAAAATATTTTGCTTTTTGTTTTTCTTGCACTTTTCTCCATCTCTGGCTCTGTCTCCATTTTCAGAAGTTATGGTAGTGAAGAGCAGTTGGTATTCAGGTAATGAGTTAACCTTAACTAACACTAACAACACAGTTGTGCAGGGCCAGTACAGGGTTCCAAATGTGTAAAGAAGAACAAAGCTTTTCTTACTTCAGAAAGTGAGGAAAAACAGTCTGATGGTACTTTATTAAATGCTGCTGTAATTTGTCTTGCTGTTAAACTTTAAACAAGACCAGTCCCACAGCTGCAGGTCTATGTAGATACTCCACTGTCCTAGGGCTGTGAGCCTACATACTGCACTTGCGGGCTTCCTTTCTGATCAGTAGATCTACACCTGCTAAGAAACAGGAGAATTGTCTTTATTCATTGCTCTTCTACCCAATGGCTAGAAGAGGTGGGGGATATTAGTTGAAAATGTTGCCAGGCTGCAGTTCTGATTATTTCCTGATTTTGTCTTACAGGTCCACCTGCCTCCAGATGGCGAGACTATGGAGCTTTGGCTATCATTATGGCAGGGATTGCCTTTGGCTTCCACCAACTATATAAGGTAGCATTTTTCCCCACTACTTCAGCACTTGTGTCCAAATGATCATGTTGGTTCTAAGGGCAATTCCAGTTGGTGAAACATCTGTTCTTGCTGGCACTGCCATTGGTATGTTTGAGAAAGGTAGACAGGTAACCTGAAAATGCAGAGTCAAAAAGTGGCAAGCAAACAAAACTATTCTTTAACAATAGATCTCAAACTGTTATAGGGAAGGTATTTTTCATCACATGTTTTTTTTCATTATTTTTTAAGTTGGGGAAAAGGAACACAATTGAATGAAGGAGTTTTCCCATCACTGGCCAGTAGAAACTAGCATCATAGGCAGGTCCTGTGTCCCAGTCTAATGCTTCCTCTACTGGTGATTCTGCACCATGGGATAGCAAAGAACCCTTTTTGTCTGGTCAGAAAATGGAAGATGTCAACCTCCCGCTCTGCTGCATATCCGTATTCCTACTGCAGTGTACTTAGTGCAAGGCAGAGCAAGCAGGTGTTTGCTTGTGTACTGCAGAGACAGCTGCCCCTCCTAATTTCTTGTGTGATGTTTCTCCAGCTCAGCATGCTCTTTTACTCTATATTTGCTCTCCAGCACTGTGGTAAGTGACATTAGATAATGTCATCTGGGAGACAGTCACATTCTGTGCCTATATAAGAAGGTGTAAACTCCCCAGCTGGTTCATGACAGCACAGCAGAGTGTAAAGGCCTTGGGTCCATTAGAAGTTATGTTTTATGTTTGCAAACGGGACAGCGATAAAGAATAACAAGTAGTTTTTTGATTTTCATGTTTGTTTATTTCTTTAATTAGCAGTTATTGACTTGTTTAATAAAATCTTTTTTAAAAATCAAGTGTTGTCCTTCATTTAAAACTACTTTTCTTTTCTTTCCCTAATTAATATCCTGGGTCTTGGGGCAAAATAGGGAGGCCAGATTTGGCAAAACGTTCCATCTACGACAGGAAGGTTCCATGACTGTAGACAGTGCCTCTTTAGTGAGCCACATTATCCTCTTGGTTATGACAGTAATGTAGTGATACCAATCTTACTGATTTTTGCCATTCTTGGGGTTGATAAGATGTTAAAACAACAGCTATGGGGCCTTGCAGACATTAACACATTGCTGTTACTAAATACATATTTCTAACAGATATTGATACTTTATATGTATATGCATATATATATATATATATATATAAATTTTGGCATAATGTCACTGATGCTGTTAATATACCCTCCTGCTGTACTCCTTGTTTACGGATCTTGCTCTGCTGTCTATCCAAACTTCATAAGACATATTGTGTGCCTAGCAGAGACTCATATTCTTTTATTGGAGTAAGAAATCTTTGGAGGCAGTTGATAAATTCCCTCTGCCCTTCATGGGATTTTGAGGGGGGTTGCAAATAGATTTTTCCGTGAAAGACAGGGTATTGGGATGAGACATAGTTGTCCATGTGTGTTCTGTGAGGATTAGAAGAGAGCTGTTTATGAAAGTTATCAAAAGCTGTTTGGCTTTCAGAATGTCTGAGTATAAACATGTGTGTATACATGTGCTTTGTGTGGATAAGAGCTGCATATAGCGACAGGGAAATCTTTAAGCAGTGCTTGCAAGTGTAAAAGAATGCTGTCCTGCACGTCAGTTTGGATAATCAGCTCTGTCTCAGAAATGCTCCTGCATATATGCCTTTACAGTGGGTGTATGTACATCAAAAATCAGGCCGAAGAAGAACAGTTAGGTACTCCAGGGTAGTTTCAGCATCCTAGAGCATCCTCTCTTGCCTTTCTTTCACCTGTCATGTTGTGCTTGAATGTACTCCTGTTAGAATGCACCTTCTATGCATATGTAGAGCACTGCAGAAGGAACCATGATAATTAGGGGAGAACTGTGACCTATTAGATCAAATTCATTCTCCACAAGGGCAGAAGGAGGTAGGTTTCAGACCTATGTACAGTATTGGTGAGCTGCTTCCCTTCCTCTAGGAACTTGATTCTCACTCCCTTTAGCCTTGGTTCCTCAGTTCTCTGTTACACTTGTTAACTCTGCTCCATTTCCATTTCTCTTCACTATTTCTCTGGATCTCTCCACCACTGTAATGCTTCCCCAGAGTTCATTAGATTTTATAATACATCTAATTCCTTTGCTTGTTCTTCCCTGGCCCTTTCAGTGCCCCTTCAGTGCTTCCTTCTCCTCCCCACTTCTGCATTTCTTTGCTTGATGGATGTAGCTCAAATATTATATGTCAGTGTGTCCACTTAAGAGAGTGTAAGAACTGAAATTGTACTCTGCATGTGATGGATGTTTCTCTGCACCAAGAGCTGTTCCAGGAAACCCTGAATAGAGTTAGGAACTGTTTTTCAACAACCCTAAAATTGTAATCAAGGACCTCCTATTTTCTCTTTCAAAACTTCTTTGAACTACCTCGTCTGAGAAAATAACTTCTTCCCAGATGTTCACTGACTGTGTAATAAAGGGTGAGGTTTGGGTGGAGGGCTTTGAGGAAGTTTCAGATAGATTAGAAAGGCCTTGGATATCCTTGTTTCCTAAGAAAGTTTCTGTACTCCATGCAGAAATACCTGCTCCCTCTCATCATGGGAGGCAAAGAGGACAGGAAACAACTTCAGAGGATTGAGTCAAACATTTCTGAGATGAGTGGCAGTGTGACACAGACAGGTAAAGATTAATGACTCCATCAATTCACCCCTCAAAGCCCTTCTCCCTGTATCCTCCATTCTGCAAAGACCCCCACCCTTCTGTTTCCTTCCATCCTCACTTTACATGGTGACTTCATTTATCTGCTCTGAGAATCTGTTCACATTTGCAAATGAAGCCGCCGTCATTTCGGTTTAATTTGAAATTGCTTGTTTACTGTCGGCGCGGCCTCAATTAATTATGTTTTTACGGAAAGGCTCCCAACCTCAGAATATTAATAAGGGGAATAAAATGACAGCCTTTCGGAGGGCTGTAAAGTTCATTTTTAATTTCTCCTTCTCTGATGTTTTCAGGGGCTTTTTTTGGTGTTTTCCCCCCACCTTCCATCTGAAAACCCAAAGCAGAGTCAGGAGAGTCTGTAATTACTGTGCCTTCCTGACCTCTACCACCTTCTCTGTTATTGACTCTATAGGGCACCTATTCATTACCTGATGCCCTAATGATGGCCTGGATTAGCTGTTACCTGTCATGCCAATAGAGATTTTAATTTTATTTTATTTTATCAGCTTGTTTACTGGCTGGAGGCTTTGGATAAAGCGGTATACAAGGTGTTCTCCTGAAATGCAAGGGGGAAAGAGCAAAGTGTGTTCAACTGATGGAAAGGGGGGAAGTGTGGCTTTTAGGAGTAAGTTTGTTAAAGATGTTGGGGGAGAAAAAGCTGGTGGCTTGAGGGTGGGAAGATGCTAATTACACTTTTTAGAGGAGGGTGAGAAAAAAAGCATCTTTCATTTCTCCTGACACCCTAAGGTCAATCCTGAGACCAGCCTTTCTCCAGATTGGAGCTAGCCTCCGAGTTTGCCTGTGTGAGGCCCAAGATAGATAAATGATACAAACATTGTATAAGTTCAGGGAGATGTACAAATCATAAACCAATATAATTAGTAGGGAGAGGTTTTGGATGGATATACTGTGGGCTATAGACATCTATACAATGGAAAGATAAACTAGAAATACTGGAGGTTAGATGCAGTGCAGGTAGATTGCCCACAGTGCAGATAAATCATATGGATTAAAGTGAGCAGGCGGGCGTAGATGAATTAGGTATAGTAGGAATAGAGGCATCTTGTAGCTAGACAGCAGGAAAGACGTGTGTGTGTGTATATGTGCTTGTATCTCAGTTTAACACTCTCCTGCTTTTCCCCTCACAGTGACTCAGTTACAGACAACTTTAGCAGCTGTTCAGGAACTGTTAATACAGCAACAACAGAAAATCCAAGAGCTCACCCAAGAGCTGGCTGCTTCTAAGGTACCCACCCCTGGTTCTTCACCTTTAAAAATCCCCATCTCCTTTGGAACGTGTATGGCTTAATGTGTGCATAAACCCATCCTTCAGCTTCTGTTCCCCACCCACCAGTTTCTCTGCACCTGGCATTATCTAGGCTATCTGTTTAAAGCACTGGATATTAATTGGGTGCCCAGTGCAATATATCTAGCCTCTGAGAGGATTTCGTTTTACAGTGTCATATGCAGCCTTTGTGTTTGTAGCCTCTGACATCTTATCAGCCCTGTAGCTCCTACCCGTGCCAGAAACTACATGTATGTTGCTAGAGGGAGGGCAGAGAAACAGGCAACCTGCATTGCAACTGTGATGTCCTCTTAGTGCACTGACTGCAAGAGGTAGAGGCTGTGCAGAGGCTTTATCTATGGGTAGTGTGTCATTTTCATGTTTATATTTTTCCTATACTCTTATATTTTGATTTAGAACAAATTTTTCATTACTTTTGTACAGAGAGCTTTCCCTTTTTGCTATGAAGAGGCCTTACAAAATGCCTTTTCACGTTTTTCCTATAGCAGGAGCGGTTGTTTCCTTCCCTTACCTATATTTCAGTCCTGTACAAGCTCTTTGATGGTGTGTAACTGGTGGGCCACAGCTGGCTGTATGGTGTGTACACTGTACCGTAGGAATCCCTCAGTGGCACAGCTGTAAACGCAACCATGAAAGCCAGTTTATGGTCACAACACTTTACTTTAGTTTTTCTTGGGAACTGTGGCCTGTCGGTGGCCTGGAGCCAGTCCGGAAATTGGAAAACTGTTTTCAGGTCGTAAGTGTTAAGATTAAGACCACATGTTGAGCTTAAAGAAGGGAAAAGGGCATAAGTGCCTTGGTGGTTTAGAGAGTCTTTAAAAAGTTTTTCCTTCCCTCCCCTTCTCTTTTCTGCTCTGAAATGGTAGCACACATTGTTATGATATCTAAACCTCATGTGTACAAAGAAAAACTTGGGCAACCCCACAAACCAAAGAATAAAAGCTGTGTTTTCTCAGCTGTAATGTAAGTTTTTATATCTGCTTTTCAAACTCCTACTGGCATGCTGTAAAAAATTAAAAAGAGGGGCTTTAAGTAATTAAAAAACGTACATAAAAATTCAAGGCTTGAATTTTCTACAACTGTTTTTTAAAGAGACTGGCTAAAAAGCCCCAGATGTCAGATTTTATTTCTAAATCCTAGGCATCTGGCACCATATGTGTTTTGGAAATTTGAGTCCTTTGCCGACCAGTGAGTGGAAATCACTCCCTCGTTAATGTGCTGCTGTAGCTTTCAAGGTCTTGGAGAGCCAGAACAGTGGCTCCTGGATTCTGGCTGTCTGAGGGCTGGGAGTGTGAATCCCAAGGGAAGGCATCTGTGTATAACACAGCTACCAGAGCCTGAACCTCTCCCAGCTCACTGGGTTCACAGCCCAGGAGTCACTGAGAGGAGTACTGGCTGTGAAGGTGTTGGGGATTATTCACTACTAGATGAAGTCTCTGTAAAGAGTAAGTAGGAGCAACCAGTCCTAGTTACATCAAGTGGGAACTAGATGTATTATTCCAGTCCTACCTTCCTTCAGTGGGGAGTCTGTTAGGATTATCTCTGGAGAGGTGGTCACAGATGGACTGATTCCCAGAAGCTGTTAACAGAAATAGGTATGGGAAGCGCTAGATGTGATTCTTTGATTCCGTACTCGGCCCTTCCCTGTAGCAGTTGATGTAGGGATAGGATGAGGGACCATAGGTGGTGGTTTCTCCTTCAGAATGCTCCTCACGTTTCTCCAGTTGCTTAAAGGGTTAAAGGAAAAATTGCCAAAAGTATTACGTGTGTGTTCTCCTTAGTTGTTACCTTACTGTAGTCTCTGCCTGACGCCCCGTAGCAGCTCTGATGCCATGCTGACAGCAGCTGTGCCCGGCTTCCATGACTTACTTATCATCCTTCCCCACCAAATTGCATTCATTGCCTTGAAATATCCAAGAGAGAGTGGCTAGTCCAGCTGCTTCCTGGAGATACAATCTGGTAACTCAAGCATAGCTCTAATTGTTCAGATCTTGTGGGGAAGCTCTAATTGTTCAGGTCTAGTGGGGAAAGTTTTTGGAGCTTTCAAGCACCAATTTATCAGTCCAACTGCTAAATGCCACACAGTGCAGTTTATCGACCCTTTATTTCGTGGTTTAGGAGGAATAAATGAGGAGACTTACACTGGTTATTTGTATATAATGTTTGAATCTGTTGCCTCAGCTAAGCTCAGGCTCAGTCAAGAGTGCAGTATCTACTTCTATGTAGCACTATGTATGTACTTCTATGTACCTATGTAACTTCTAGGTTAATTGTATTTAACTCCCACTGCCTTTCAGGTTAGAGTTCTTCTCTAGAAATGGTACCATAGGTCATTGTCAAACAGTTTGATTTACCTTTTTATATTTGCCATCTGCCTGACTTGTTGGTAGAAAACTGCAGACTTGCTTTGATTGAATTATTGAAAGTGCCGGGTTCCTTATAATGGAAAAAAGAAAGATCCCCTTGAGAGGCTTCAACAGTGACTATGCATTTTAGGTTGGAAACAAGGTGAATTAGTTCCCAAAACAGAAAGCAAATACTCAAATTGTATTAGCACCTCAAAAGAACTATTTTTTTTTCTGATCATTGTGGGAATCCACTGGCTTGAGATCCTCACATGGGAGGAGAGAGACGACAAGACAGAAAAATATGACTTTTGTGAGCTATCTCCTAGTTCATATTTCTGACTTTTGCTCCTTTCTTATGTTGTAGGCCACAACTTCCACTAACTGGATTCTGGAGTCACAGAATATTAATGAATTGAAATCTGAGATCTACTCACTAAAAGGACTTCTCTTGAACCGGTATGGACGGAGATGAGAGCAGATTATTGTGTGGGGAAAGGGTTGTGTTCTGGGGTTCTCCCAGGCATTGAGATGAAAGGCATTCCCAAAAGGAACTAGCTCTGTATCTATCCTGTTATTATTGCTGTTTTAATAATGCCACTTTGCACTCCACTATCACCTTCTGTTTGCAGGTCTCAAAATGCTTTTCAAACAGAGTGTTTGGAGTAATTAATAAGATTTTTCCTCTTTGTTTGAGATAGAAAAATTCTCTGCCAGTCACCACAGGTAGGATGCCCTCTCGCCTGGTTTTAGCTATTGACTGTATATGGTCTGAGCTACCCGCCTACCTTCCGTTATGGGGAGAGAGAGAGAGGCAGTTCTGGATATAGTTCATCTGACCGACTTACGGTGAGGGCATAACCAGGATGAAGAGAATCCTGCTTCAGTAGAGTCTGTATCTCTCCTCAGGCTAGCTTGGGTATAGGCATTTTGCATGAAGCAATATAAATTCCAGTCCGTGGGACAGTCATAAGAACAGGGATCAGATCTCAGTTCTTATGAAAATCCCTTTTTTCCTAGAACATATTTCAGAGTTTATTTAGCTTTTCAGCTACTGATCCTTTCACTCTAATAGGACCCCTTTGCCTCCTTCCTTGACAATCTTTTAAGTTCTCCCTAACCCTCATGTTCCCGATAGGAGTCCCGGTAGAAAGCTTTGGGTGATTGGGATCACATATCAAGTTATCATCTGTAAAGTTAGTTCGTGCTAGCATTACTACTGGGGAGGAAACACAATTTACTGATGCTTCTTCAGCAGTGGGGAAGTTCTTCAGAAATTACAGACCTGTTCATTAGGCCTCTGCCTGTCAGGCTGGATGAGGAGCAAGTACAGAGGCTTACCTGTCCTTTGTGCTTTCCTTGAGGAGGATTTCCTCTTGGGTTTGATTTATAAACACAAGTCTTTCAGCTATCTACTGCTGGCCAGCAGCAGCGTGATAGCAGCTCCTCAGGGTGGGAAAGCTGGAGGGACCATCTTTAGGGAGAAATTGCTGTTTTAATCAGTTGGGGGTAAGTGTTTTGGGAAAAAATAAGAGTGTTTGTTTTTACAGAAAAGGCAAATGTTTCTGCAGTATGCAGGTGGCAGCAACACTGGAGCCAAGAAAGTCTCCAAATTGAATTTCATGATAGCATTTGTGATAGTGGTTGAATAATGCAGGCATTAGCTTGCCTGCACTCTCAGAAGATGCAATCCCTCCCTGCACTCACAAGTTCCTCCATGGCTAGTGGTGGCAGCAGAGATGGGGAGGGGACTGCAACTACTGTTCCTAGTTTGATCTGAGAAACTCGAATTCTTTTGTGCTCGAGTGCTTACTGCAGGAGAGCAGCCAGCTTTCTTGGTCTGCTCTAGTCTTGTTCTTGGCACAAGCCAGTTCCTAAGGGCTAAGTGAACTCCTTCCCACGCAACAGCATCTTCAGAGCTTCATCAGTTAAAGACTTCACACTCCCACTTCCCACATGCACAAGCAAGGATTGTGCTTGCATGGGAAATACCAGATCAGACACTTTTTTGCTCTTTTATTTATGATGCATGACTTTCTGAAGGCACCAGTGCTCCCTGCTGCACTTCTATATGTCCTCTTCGGTACTTGGATTCTCCTTTTAGGGGTGGGCATTAGCCAGGTGCTGTCAGTTCCTTAAATCCCACCTGGACAGGACTCACGGAGGACAGAAAAGCCAGCTCCTCAGTTGGGGCAAACTAGTACGACTGCGTTCAGATCAGGAAAGCTGAACCAGTTTGCAGCAAACAAGCTCTGGCCCAAACACGACGTGCGTGCCGGGACTGGGAGCTAGGCCCTGGATGGGAACGAGCCAGCATGCAGTAGCTGTGTATCACAGTGGAGAGGAGAGCCAGATGGTGAAATTCCTTGGCTCAGACTTGAGAGCCTAATGCCTCTTCTTGCTCCAATGGGAATTTTCTTTACCAATTAATTAGTGATTGTTTTATAAAGGGATATTGAACACCTCTATCTTTCCAGAGGTGGCATTCTTGAGTGCCAGCTTAGTCTGTGAAATTGCCAAACCAGATCATTTCAGCACTTCAGATTGCCCAGCTGTGTGCAGGCAGCTTTTCCCCCATGTGCAGGCTCAATTACTGGGTGCCTGTAAAGCACTTTGAGATTCTGGCTGAAGAAGTGAAGTGGCCTTGGTTTTATTTGTTTATGACAAAGGAGACCTGCAAGTTCAGTCCTGCTTTACATGATTCCCGCAGTACGAATGCCACCCTTCTCTCTAATGATAATCCCCTCAGTGTTTTTAATAAAAGCCCATTTTCTCTCCTTTTCTTTTCCCCTACCCCTGCCCCCCAAGGAGGCAGTTCCCTCCCTCCCCTTCGGCTCCTAAGATCCCGTCATGGCAGATCCCCGTGAAGCCAAGCTCACCCTCTAACCCTATTGCTGCCAATCATAACAGCAGCAGCGACATCTCACCGGTGAGCAACGAGTCGACTACCTCATCGCCGGTCAAGGAGAACCACAGCCCCGAGGGGTCCAAGGTTGGCTGCCATTTGCTGAGCGCAGAGGAAGGCAACAAGGCAGTGATTGACGTCAAGAGCCAAGTGCGGATGGAGGTGCAGGGTGAGGAGGAGAAACGGGAAAACAAAAGGAATGAAGAGGAGGAAGAGGACGATGAGGATGATGACGTGAGCCACGTGGATGAGGAGGAATGTCTGGGAGTCCAGACTGAGGACCGGCGAGGAGGAGATGGGCAGATAAATGAGCAAGTGGAGAAGCTACGAAGACCTGAAGGAGCCAGCAATGAGAATGAGATTGACTAAGGCATCTTGGCTTCTTCCTCAGCTGCTGTACATCTTCCCTAGCCTTCTGCACTGTCCCTGGTGCCTCTCCCATTTTGTGGAGAGAAATGCCCCCCATCCCCTCCAGTGATTCTTCCATGATTGACCTTGAATAGGGTCATAATTGCCCAGCGAACAAGGTGGGCCCTGTTTCACCACAGGGCTGTGCAGTGTTGCAGTGGCTGCTTCTTCCCTCCCAGTCCCACCTTCTCCCCATGCCCTGGGGTCACAGCCTAGGCTGGAAAACCAATCGCCTTACCATGCACCACAGCTACAGAACGAAGTCATCGTACAGAACCATCCAGCATCTCCCCTGCAGTGGTCAGCCTCTTCACTGCAACCTAGGCTCCTCCTATTCAGTCTGGGAAACGAGGCTGTCCTGAGCTATTCTATTTCACAAGCCTTTAATCCCACATAAATCCTGAACCAGTTCTCACTTTTTTTCCAAAATAACCCTCTGTTTTATTTCTGAAACTAATTGATGTTCCATCTCCAAATCAGAAAGTTTTAACCCTGAATTCCTCATTAGATCTCACTCTCAGCTACCTACTTCCAAGCCTTATGTCAAGCCTCAAATTCCTGAAACTACCCAGCATTTAAAAACACTAGATTTCTTGTGGGGTCCAAAGAACATTATTCCCACCCCACAAGTGCCCTTCCACCCATCAAAGTGGCCTCTTACTAGGTATCCAAGCCCACGTTTCATGGCCACAGGAAAATGCATGAGAACAAGTGGCTTTGTTACCAATTACTCCCCAGTGAAAGAAGGCATTGAAAGATGACCCCACTCATCCCAATTATTACCCTTTTTCCTCCAAAGGCAAATGGAGCTCACATCAGTTTTTGACATCTTAAAATTTATTTCTGGCTCCCATGAATGAATGAATGAATGAGGTGATAATCAGATGCTGAAAGAGTTGGTTAATTCTGAATCTTCACAATGGTTCTTAGCCTATTTTTTCCCTGAATGAGGAGAAAACCCTTCTTAAATGATCAGCTGAGACCTGCATCTACACAATGACAGGTGCCTGCTTCAGCAAAGCAGTCTTTGCAGAAGAAAGAACAGTTCCAGCTCTGAGGTACGCCACTAACCTTGCTCGCCCAGCCCAGCCTTTTTTCACCCCATTGGGGCTATACACAGAATAAAACGGTGAATTTTGAAACCTCTCATTTGCAGCATTGTGTTCTCAGCTGGTAAAATGGTGGTGTCCAATTATTATTCACTGCATCAGAGCCTCTTAGCAGAGCAATTCCTGTAACATCTGAGTCACCCTCTTTTCACCAAGCAAGCGTGCTCGTCTGTGTGATCATGTATAGATTTAAAATATAAAATACGATTGTATATAATTGTAATAAATATGAGTTACCACTATTTAACACCAGGCTGTTACTGGATTACTGTGGCTCTTATTCTGGGGCGAAATATGCATGCAGGGTGGTAAAGGGAGGGAAGGGGGGAAATTCCAGAAATTCACTGCTTATAAAATGTTTTCCAGAGGGCCTTTATGGCTGGTTGATGTTTAAGCTGCTCCAGCCCTAGGTTACGTCAGCAGGAGGCAGTGTGCAGAATGGTATAAGTGCAGTATGAAGTACAAGATAAATAGCTAGTGCTAGTTTGCCTCTGTCATTGCAGAGGGTGAGGTGGACGCATCATCTTTGGAGTGAAATGCAGCCAGGCTGGCCCCTTTCCTCCCAGGAGGAGGCACTGCGGGGCCCAGGAAGCTGCATCTCGCTCCCGTTGCAGCCCCTGCAGCAGGAGCTGCTGAAGGGAGCGCGTGAGATATCCCACAGCCCTCGGCTTATCTTCCAGCAGGGAATGCTGTGCGGTGTCCCATGACTGTGCCAGCCCTGCCATGTTAGCACAGCAGCCACGGAAAGGCATGGTGTGCAGCAGCTCGCAGCTACCGTACTCCAGCTGTGTCCAACGGGAGTGTTTCCCCTTCTTAAAAATGAGGGGTTTGCTCGATTCCTGAGTATTTGGGTGTCTGGTACACAGTGACATTTTCCCGCTCACAGGGAGTGAAAGGGACCTTCATATTACTGTATTTAGACCTGCTGTTGAATGTGATGATTTCTCATTCCTTAAATGGACGAATATCTTCCCCAGGAGTGAGTGAGTGCGTGTGTGTCTCCCTCTCCTTCTCAATCTCTCTCTCTCTGCCGTTTAACGTTCACAAAGAACGTCACGTTTAGCTAAAACAGGAAAATTTGAAAATGTTTTAAAGCTTTTCTTAAGAGATGGCACTTTTCATTTCTACAAGCCAAGAATCCTGTGAAAATAAAGCAGGACCGAATGCAGGGATATAATGACAAAGTATTGTCCTGCCTGTGTACATTTTATATACATAGAAGGTTTTGAAAATAGAAAGTGCCTGGACAACAGCAGTCGGTGAAATGTGGAAAATATGTTGCTGAGGTATGTGCCTTGCAGAGTGACTTACGAGGTTTACAGTACAAGCATCCCTGCGGGTTCATTTTTCCCCCCCTTTTCCTCCATGTTCCCAGTGTTCAATTCATTTACCTCAAGTTTTCTGGTGCAGCATTAAAGGGCAACTTTCCTCAGCTGCCTTTCCCACCCTTAGTTTTTCATTCTGAGAACCTTTACCATTGGTTCCAGCTTTTTCCTTCCGCAACCTGACATGAATCTCAGCAGACTCCATCATAGCCCTTGTTGCTCAAAATGCTAACTCTCATCCTCTTGCTCCTGGTGGGGTGTTCATATACTTTGCTGAGGATTCCAACCCATTGGCAGAGGATTTGGAAGAAGCCAGATGTCCTTACAAGTAGGTATTTTTGGAAATCACGGGTGCTATTCCTCTCTCCTATATCTCGTCCTTCTTTCTAGCATAGCAGCAGTTTTGAGGTCAGTGTTTTGCTCCTGATGAACTGTGTAGTCTGACTTCTAACGAATTCTTTTTCTTTTTTTTTTTTTTTGGCTAGAAACAAGCTTCATAGATCAGCACTCTGTGAAAGGTTTAGCCCACTGGCCAGTAGGCGCTGAGGATGGCATCATATTAGCTGAGAGAAGACCAGGTAGCAAACCCTTTGCCTGCAGAAATAAAGACAGCAGCACCCACTGCTTGGCTTACCCAAGTAGACGGTTTTACACTGTAACCAGCCTTTGTTTTACAGACACAGGAAGAAGAATAAACAGTGCCCTGGCTGGTGAGTTCAGTTTGTTCTTAACATGGTTTCTGTAGGTTCCTGATGTGGTGTAGGAACAGGTGAAGGGAACCACCTCTGAGCAGTGTCATGTTTCAGAGAAACCCTGTGAACTGGTGGTCTGTCCCATAGAGGAAGCCAAGTCAGGCTACTGCTTTCCAGGAATATGTGAATATAAAAGCTCCCTGTTCAGTAGCCACAAGAGATAAGTGGGGAGTTCAAAAAATAAACAACGTAGGAAAAGGTAAAGAGAGCTGTCTGCTGATCATCTTCGTCCAACCTTCTTCACCACTAGGATTGACAAGTAAGCCCTATATGAATCTTGGACAGAAGCAGGAAAAAGTTTCATTGCTTTTTGCCTGTTGGGAATGTAAAAACACAGTATTAGGGATCAGAATGAAGGGGATGGACAATGAGGCCCTGAGAAATTTTGCTGACATTTTCCAAGGCATTTTGCTTGTAGAGTGCCTCAGTTTCCCTGTGTGCGGGTAAAAATTGTCCGGTAGCTACTGAGAAAGGACAAAGCAAATTTTGGAAACCAGACATGTTGCTAAGACCTGCAGCTCACACAAAATCCCCCACCCCCATTAAGGGGTGTGTGTGGGGATAAGACCAGGGCAAGGCTGCAGCACAGCACCCAGCTGGTACCACTGTCCCCTGATTGCCCAGCTCCTGATGGCTGCACAGCTGCGAGAGGAGCCGCACGACCTCCCCGAACCGCCTGCTCGCCCCGCAAGCTGGCCCTGGCTCGGAGGCACCTGCTCTTCCTTGCTGCACCTCAGCTTCTTCTGGCATGTAAGTGCTTTTTAATTACCTATGTTCTCGCTTGCCTTATTTTCCAGCAGCGAGGGGGGAACTGGCAGTATTTGCAGAGGCTCTGGTGTTGCTTTGGTGCCAGTGCCTTCGTGACTGTAGTGATGGAAGGAAGCATGGTGCACACTGGTGCACACCAAGATGCTGCCTTGGGGACAACAGCAGTGTTGGAACTGGAAAAAACAGTCCATGTCTGCTCTGGTGCTCTCATTTGCAGTGTCTGCCATGGGAATGGAGGCTGCCTTTGCCTTTCTTTGGGGTAGCGGGTCCCTTGGGGGGAGTGAAGGCTTGGCAGAAGGCCCAGGATAGTTTTGGGGGCCAAATCTGATCTCAGGGTCTGACCCAGCAGCTAGTGGCACAAATTGTGTGTGGTGGTGGCCCTGTGCACCAAAAATGGTACCGAGCTGGAGCGGAGTCCAGGCAGGACTGGAGCTTTCTCTGATCGGGTGGTAGCAAGAGATAAGCTTTGCCTTAAGTGATTAAGAACATGAATGTAGCAATGCTGGGAGGTAAAAGAGGGGAATGATTCATCTGAGTGTACAAGAGGGAGCTTCCCATCTTTCCTCAGTCTCCTTTTATCCGTTAGTTTCTTAGACTATGCTACTCACATGGAAGTGAGTCCCTGTAGGGTTAACTGCAGAGCTGTGCCCACCTGTTGAACACTGGCCCTCGCCACTACCTGCGCTTCTGAAGTGGAACAAAATAATGGGAATGCAGCAGTGCAGGGGAGGAGGGACGGCCCGGCGCGACGCCGAGCCCCGCGGCGCGCGCCCACGCAGAGGGGCTGGCATGGGCTCTCCAGCCCGGGGAAAAAAACACTCCCATCCCCAAAAGGGAGCGAGCACTAACCTAATAAAGGCACCAGCTGGACGAAGGGAAAACCAGCTCTTCGTCAAAAAAAAAAAAAAAAACTCCTTTCATTAGAAAAATAATATATTTCATCCAAATAAGGTAAAAATATTTGAAATGGGGCAGAAGTGAGCACTAGGCAGCATCTGTCAGGCCCTTTCTGGAAAGGGGAAGATTATTAAACTCAATTACAATTTATTTTTGTAAAGTGTCTTTCAGACTAAAAATCTCCCCAAATGCTTTGCAAGGACTGCTCAGGGGTTACTTTGCAATATGGAGCATCTTAGAAGAACACCCCTCAGTTTCCCCTAGGCTCCTATTTTCTGTATCTGCTGGAGGATTTAACCCTTTAGGATTTTTTTATTCTGAATTTGTGCAAGTAGCAAGAGATCTTTTATGATGCTGGCCACAAAAATACAGGGCTACGGGGGTGGGGATTGCCATAGTTTTTCTTTTCTGCTTTAGATAAG